AATGGAGGAATTGTTGACCAGGACAAGGGGGAAAATCTCCCTTCTCTTTTCAAGTAGTGGGATGGGAGGGCTCTGATCACTTGGGGTGTAAAATATACTTTATATGGGTTTGTTTGCTAGATTATTGATGGCAGAATTAGAAGGTCACCATTTCTACCAACACCAATAATGATTAGCCATAACAACAACTTGTATTTATAACTTACATTTATATAGTGCTCTTCACGCGAGATAGCATCTCAAAGTGCTGCAGAGCCACAGAGCTCTTCATTTAAAGCACCGCCTGTGGAGAGAATAAAACACGGCGGAAACTAGACTCCGGGGGTGTTGATATCAAAGAGCTGAGCCGAGCATTGGGTTACTGTGGAATCAGTATCACTGCCGCTCACAGCACTGACAGATCATGATGATTATTGTCCCACAAAACACTGCAGCTGAAGCAGAATCCGTAATGGCTTTTAAAAGGGAATTGGAAAAATATATATAAAAAAAATGAAAGGGTGTGAGGAAAGGGCCGGGGAGTCAGAGCAAATCGATAGCTCTTATAGAGGCCTAGGCCCAGGCACGATTAGCCAAGTGGCATCTTTCCGTGCTCTGCCTCTACCATCAACACAAGAGGAAACTCAAGGCATTCATGAGGAAGAAGGGAATAGAGAGGTATGCGAAGAAGGTATAGAGGGGTAATGAGAAGGGGCCAAATAGGTTGTTTCGGTGCTGTAGATTCTATGTATGCACTGTACACCATCAGAAAATAGGGTTAAGATAATAAGTATAAAATAGTTACTAGGGGATCTAAAAGAGAATTTAGGAGGAACTACTTCACGTGGAGGGTAAGGAGAATATGAAACTGAATGCCCAAAGTGGTGGTTGAATCAGATACTATAGATGCAATTAAGAGGAAGTTATACAACAACAACAACAAAATTACATTTGTAAAACACCTTTCACGTCGGGAGGACGTCCCAAGGCGCTGGACAGAGTTTTGGACCTGAGCTGGGGGTCGGGGTGGGGGAGGGTGGAGGACGGGGGGGAAGCAGGGAGATCGAAAGCATGGTCGAAGAGGAGGGTCTTGAGATGGGTCTTGAAGGAGGCAAGGGAGGGGTGAAGCGGAGGGGCTACAGGATGGAGTTCCAGAGGGTGGGGGCAGAATGGCAGAAGGACCGCCTGCCAATAGTGGGGCGAGCGAGGCCGGGGACGTGAAGCAGGCCGGAGCCCGCTGAGTGGAGAGAGCGAGCAGGATGGTAGGGGGTTAGGAGGTCGCAGAGGTAGAAGGGAGCCAGACCGTGGAGGGCTTTAAAGGTGAGGACCAGGATCTTGAACTGTATCCTCTGTGTGACTGGAAGCCAGTGGAGTCTGGCGAGGATGGGAGTGTTAGGGTCGCGGAGCTTAGTGTGGGAGAGGACATGGGCTGCAGAGTTCTGGATGATTTACAGGCTACGGAGGGAGGAGTTGGGGAAGCCGACAAGCAAAGGGTTTGCATAGTCGAGGCTCGATGTAATTAAAGCATATATGAGGGTTTCGGTGGCCTGCGGTGTGAGACAGTGGCGGAGCCAGATGACGTTGCGGAGGTGGGGAAGGCAGAGCGGGTCATAGCGCAGATGTGGGGTAGAAAGGAGAGTTGCGCGTCAAATAAGACCCCAAGGTTCCAGACTGGCTTAATAAGGTGGAGTATGTAACCATGGATGGTGATGCTGTCAGCACCTGAGGTGAGGTCTTGTTGACATTCAACTGAAGAAAGTTAGCTCTCATCCAGGACTTGATGTCTGACAGACATTCAGTCAGGACAGCAGTAGTCCTGGAGTCAAGGATGGAGGCAGAGAGGTACAGTTGCGTGTCATCCGCATATACGTGATGGAGAGGGGAATAGAAGGATGGGTGAAGACTCGTGTGGAGTATAAACATCGGCACAGACTGGTTGGGCAACATAAAGAGAAGCTACCATTAAATTGCTCCAAATCAATGAATAAAAAATGGCTGGATTTCTAAGGACACTGGACGGGAGCGAGGTGTGTGTGTCTTACTATTGCTTTTGCCATCTAGGTAATCTCACCCGCATGTGAAGGTAGTATCACTACAATGGTACCAATTCCTGGGATTTTCCATCCAAGAAAGTCAGTCACAAAGCAGTGTTCCTGGGAGAACATGCCCCTCTCCTTGTTCAGTCTCTGTGACTATTATTAAATAACAGAACATGCAGGCTGTGTACAGCGGGCTATTTTCAGTGATAATATGCGCATGCACATGACTTCCGTAAGACATCGACAACAGCAGACACACGCAAGAGGTTTTTTATATCATTGTCTCGAAGCCCACAGATGGAACAGGAAGGTCGGGAGCTAGTCCCACAGCCAGACTCCACGCGGCTTTGGCAGGAAGCAGGCTGACTGACCTCTCACCTTCCTGCCAGGGGCTGGGCACGCTTATGCATGTCACAGAGAGAGCTTAGAAAGGGGAGAGCAATTCACAAAAAGAGGATTGCTCTCATTCAAAAAGGAATTAAGAGGATGTCTGGAGCAGGACATAACATCAATGCTGCCTCCTGGCATTCCGAATATAATTCCAACGGAGCACAAATCATAACCACTCTCTCCCTCACCTACACCCTATGTACCCTCGTCTCCCTCACCCACACCCTATGTACCCTTTTCTCCCTCACCCACACCCTATGTACCTTCCTCTCCCTCACCCACACCCTATGTACCCTCCTATCCCTCACCCACACCCTACGTGTCCTCCTCTCCCTCACACACCCCGTGTACCCTCCTCTCTCTCACCCACACCTTATGTGCCCTCCTCTCTCTCGCACACAACCTTCCTACCCTCCTCTTCTCTCACACATACCCAATGTACCCTCCTCTCTCTTACGCACACAACCTCCGTACCCTCCACTCACGAACTCACACCCTCCCTACCCTCCTCTCTCTCACACACAACCTCCCTACCCTCTTCTAGTTCAACCACACTGTCTATACACAGGACTCTGCATCCTGAGAACCAGTTTGGACACAAATAACATGCAATGAAAACAGTGATATAAAAAGGATAACTAATAAAAGAGGAAACAAAATGTTTGGGGTCGTGTCAGTTTTGTTTTCCATTTACAAACATAACTTTGTAAACCTACATGTTGTGGTTGATCAAAGGGCCTTTGGCTGCTTTGTCAGATATTGTCAACTTTTCAATTTCATTTCTGAAAATCAATGGACTTTGTAGAGAGCTGTAACAGATCACACTTCTTACAGTAAGCTGGGAAACTTAGACCAGACCTGGGTATTGCTTTGCTTGTTGATTATGATGAAAGGCTGAGTAAATTAGCATTACATTCACTGGCGCTGAAGAGGTTAAGAGGTGAATCTGATTGAGGTGACTGAAACAAAATAATTTAGGGAATTGCAGCCAGGAGGAGGAGATGTAGAGAAATGTAGAAAGGTGGAAGGAGAAGTGAGAAGATTCTCTTGGGAGGATTCTCCTGGGAACTTCTGGGCATTTGGTACCCTCTTGCCTGTACAAGCTGACCCTGTTATAACACAACCCGATACAGCAAGAGTCCATTTAAAATGCAAGTTATGGACCCTGCAATACTGGAAATAGACACTGACTGACTGGCTTCCTGCAGGAAGCACTGCTAATGTCATTTTCCATGCTCTGCTCAGGAAATTGCATCAGTGGCACTCCTAAGCACAGGAAGTGGTTGTCAGCTGTGACCTTACGACGAGGAAGTGCTGCCTAGCAGCCACTGTTTTTTGTCCAAGGCGTTTGAATGTGGGGTCAGAGTTTATGGACCCAAACTACTACATTATAAGAGGGTCAGTCGGCCCTTATCTACACTAAAAGTATGCATTACAGACAACACAAAACACTTCAAAGGTCTTCACTAGACCTGCAAACACCCTTTAAACAGGTAGATGTCCAACTAGATAATCATCAGGTCCTGAAAGGTTTGAAAAACACGGCCATGTATATTGAGAGAATTGGAGGAAACACACACACTGAGATCAGCTCAGCCTCATGCCCGTAAACACAAACCGTGTGTGTGAGTGCTGCCTTGTCCAAGAGGCCAGCAACTCTGCAGTCTTGTCAGCTCTCATATTTTACCAAATAGCAAGAAATTCCACCTGGGACTAGATTGATTCTATTCCCGCCACATTCACCCAAAATTTGGCAAATTGTTTAATTCGGTCTTAATTTTCAAGACGTTTTTCTGTACAGTAAAGACTGTATTTATGAATTTGACAAACTGGATGCTCTGAAATAAACAGTCACTCCACTTCACAGTAACTTTCGTGAAGCGCTTTGAGAGGACCTCCCGATGTGAAAGGTGCTATACCAAATGCAAGGATTATTGTTATACATATAATAATAATTCTTGCATTTGATATAGTGCCCTATCAAGTCATCAAGATGTCTCAAAGCAATTCACAGGCTACACTGTAAAGTGTAGTGACTGTATTTTGTAGGAAATGCAACAACCACTTTGCTCACAGCAGTGTCCCGCAAACAGCCATGGGTGAGTGACTGATTTTTATTTTGGGGGATTGTTGGCAAGAACACAGAGGGGAAACTCTCTTCTTTTTCTGCATGGTGCCATGGGATCTTTAATGTCTAGCTGAACAGACAGTTTAATGTTTAATGTCTCATCCGAAGGACGACACCTTTGACAATGCAGCATAGACCTAGCACTGCATTGGAATGCCAGCCTAGACTGTGAGTTCAAAGTCCCAATGTGGAGCTTGAATCCACAACCGTCTGACTCATAGACGAGAGCGCTACTCCAGGTGAAGGTTGTATACGTGCAAATTGGTGTAGTTCTTGTTGTGGTTGTTGATGAATGCTGCCAAAGAAGCCAGACTGAAATAGAGCAAATCTAGAGGCAGGTAGAATTTCTACCATCAGGTTCTTAAAAAGCCCTGAAACTAAGACGTAAAACCCAGGCAGCCTGTTCCTGCCTTTCCACTGAGAGACTGACACCATATGCAGTAGAGCGGGAGGGGCAAGCTTACCTGAGACTGGAATCTGGGTGAGTCTCCAGGTGAGTCTCCAGTCCGTACTTGCAGATGAAAGTTTTAAAGCACACAGGGCAGTGTAGGACCTCCTCTGACTTCTTGTCTTCCTCTTCATCAGATGGCGTCTCTCCGGCCACCTGTGGTTTAGGGAATGGGGGGGGTAGGGGGTAGGAAGGGAGGTAGAAAATAATAAGATTGATAAATGCACAAGATTTTTTTTTAAGCTGCCAGCTCTATAGGAACACAAGCAGCTCAGCGCACACCGGGATTAGAACCTAGGACGTTTTGACCGGTGATCATTAATAATACATACAATCCTTACATTTAATATAACGCCTTTCAAGTGGAAGGAAGTCCCAAAGCGCTTCACAGGATTTACAGTAAAGTGGGATGACTGTGGGTTTTGTAGAACGAATGGAACAAACGTGACAGCCAATTTGCACACAGCAGTGTCGCACAAACAACCATGGAGTGAGTGACCTATTTTATTGGGGGATTGTTGGCCAGGACACCGGGAGAGAGAAACTCCCTTCTCTTTTCAAATAGTGCCATGGGAACTGCACAGGCAAACAGGACATCGGTTTAACGTCTCATCCGATAGACAATGGATTCCTTCAGAAGTTTACAGCACAGGAGGAGGCCATTCGGAGAGAAAGAGAGAGAGAGATGGGAGCGAGCGAGCAGAGCAAGAGAGAGAGTGGAGCTGGAGAGAAAGGGGAGCAAGAGAGAGAGAGAGGGGGAGCAAGAGAGAGGAGACTCGCTGCTGACAAGTGACTAACTAACTATATTATAGACTAGCAGAGACTAGTGTAACAGGTGGGCACAAACTGGTATGACAGGTGGGCAGAGACTTTTGTGACAGGGTGGCAGAGACTGGTGTGACAGACAATCACCAGCAGGCACACCACAGGGCGACAGCCTGTACATTACACAGACGTTTAGCTGCTAATTGCTGACTGCAGTGTGCTGCGGCTTTTGGAGTTCCTCGATTTTCTGGCTTTCATTAGCTCTCTGTCCCATGAGGGCTCGGGTCACTACTCTCTGCACACGGTTTATTGTACGGCTCCTCTGTACACTGTCCAGAGATTACAGTAACCCAAGGCTTTTAACAGCAGGCAGGTGGAGAGCTACATGGCTCTGAAGTCTAACCTGCCATTTCCCAGCTGTCACTTTGAAGAGACCGTACCTTCCTTTGTTGGTCCATGTAGGTGTAATTTAATAATGTACAGAATCAAATCCACACAGCTTCATTTAGGAAAGTGTAAACATATTTCTACTTGACTTCTCAACATTACGGCAGTGTATGATTATGGTGCATAATTAACCGTTAATGATTTCCCTTTACCACTTTTTGGGGGCTGTAACTGATTAGAAATACACTTTGCCCAGAGGAGGGAGTTCAAAACAAGAAAAAGAGAGGGGGTGGTGGGGAGGAATGGAGGAAGGGGGAAAAAGTGAGAGACTGAAAAAACAGACCAAGAAACAGCGATGAGGAGAGAATGGAAGGATGGAATAATCCTTGCAATAATAATTATATAACGCTTTTAACATCTTCTGGATGTCTCAAAGCGCTTCACAGAATATACCGTAAAGTGAATTGACTGTATATTCATGGGCGAAACGCAGCAGCCAATTGCGCACAGCAGTGTCCCACAAACAGTCATGGATTGAAGTGAACAAATTTATTATTGTTTTTCTTTCTTGGGGATTATTATCAGGCAGTGGAGTAAGGAAACTTGCCCAAGGTTTTGCCCTGACAGGAAGTGAAACCTGCCTGCGAGGCGAGTCCTCTAACCACTGAGCTACAGGACTCCACTGAGCTACAGGACTGATACTAGGAGAAGGAGTGAGAGACTGACACACACACGTGCACACACACCGAGTGACTGAGGTTAGTTTTATTCTGCTGTTTCAGAGACACTCAGTGACCGACCGCCTTATAATAATAATCCTTGCATTTGATAGAGCGCTTTTCACGTCGGGAGGACGCCTTGTTATCTTCCCAGACTTTCCCTCCTCAGCCTCAGCCAACCATTTTTTCTGGTTCCACAGCCCTTAATATAATAATCATTTGATCTAGCACTTTATCACATGATCGAGAGGTGTCAAAGCCCTTCACAGGATTTACTGTGAAATGTAGTGACTGTGTATTTTCTAGGGAAACATGGCAGCCAATTGGTGCATAGCCAATTCCTATGAATAATCATGAAATGAATGACCAATTTTTTATCTGAAGGATTGTTGGCCAGGACACTGGGAGAAACTCCCTTTTCCTTTCAAATAGTGCTTATGGGACCTTTAACATCCACCTGAACAGACAGTCGGGACCTCAGTTTAATGTTTCATCTTACGGTTGGCACCTCTGACAATGCAGCGTTTCCCCAGCACTCCACTGTGGTGTCTACCTAGACTGTGAGCTCAAAGCCCCAATGTGGTGCCTGAAGTTTTGACAATCACCAAATAAAATGGTAACCTGCAGACATCACCCCATCACGGATGATGACAGCAAATTTTCCTCATGCGCAAATGACTCCACATTCTCTTTTCCTTCCGGAGACCGAGGAAACTCGCTACGGAGGCAGAGGCTGATCCAGCTCGGAGAAACGTACCACATCTGGAAAGCTGCCTGCTTTAAATTACGGGTTTGCTTCCTCCAGTAAACTCTTCATATAAAAGTGGGATGAAAGGCAGCGAGGTGTTGCAACAGGTTTGACTGGTTATAAAGCCCGTTTTTTAAAAATATCTTTCCCACAGCAAATCTTTGCCACTGATAAGCACTTAAGCACTTAACAAGATTGTGAAATATGCCGATCTGGTTTTATATCGCTCATTAAATCATCTTCAGAGTTTTGAAATGAGGGAAGCAAGAGATAGAGAGGGAGAGACAGAGAGGGAGAGGGGTGAGTGAAAAAGAGAGAAGAAACAAAAAATAGAGAGAAATACGCACCGCTGGCAAATGGAGGGCTTGATAGAGGAAAGCATTCCATTTGCTAGCACTAGTGGGAGCAAAACTTCACCAAAAACATAAGAATATTTTTTTAAAAGGTGAACACAAACTACTGCGGCAGGTGTGACTGTGGGTAGGAAGCGCACACTGGCCCTTTAACAGTTTCAGCTACTTCTCTCCGCCAGGTAAAACAACAAGAGGGTTGTTGGAAAGTGCTGCAGGCTGAAACGCTGCCGAGATTTTATTAGACGCTCGATGTGGTACAAACATAAGAGGTTGTGTGCAAAGAGATAGAGATACAATCTCCTCCAGCACTACAAACCTCACATTGCACAACTGCACGATGACTGCAGCTATTATAGGTCACACTGGGCCTCTACAGGGAGCCTGAACAAGGATTACTATCACATGTAAGACAATGTAATTTGCAGTGCAAATCACAGTCAAGCACAGCCCAGTGATGAACAGTAATATTTAGAGAGATCACTTTGGATAATAAAGTCTCATTCAGGACTTCAGAGCAGATGGAAAAATTATGAATAATGAGCTGCTATCTGTGTGAGTAAACGTTCAATTGTGGCTGTTAAGCAGCCTCTGACTTCCATTGACCTTCACACTAATTTAACCGCAGCATGTTCCTCAGACTCGTGCACTGCCAGGCACATCCCGAGCAACTCAGTCAGATAGCAGGCGACGTGCCCTTTGCCTCAGAGTATTACAAGGCCCGTTTGTGCTCGGCTCCCACCCAATTAACAGCTCTCAGAAGTTCTCTCACGGTTACAGAAACTGATTTCTGGGCAAAGCGCACGCCTTTTCCTCACACTCCCGCCCGCCACTGTCCATTCTTTCGTGGGGAAAGCAGAACTTGAATGTAAGTTTGTTGCTGCAGTTTGATATTTTTTAATGTCTGCCCTCCAGGACACGCACCACTCCTCGTGGCAGTCTCCAGCCAGCTAAGCCGTGCAAAAACCCAAGAGGACATGACCTCTAATGTTCTCACTCCATCAACTAGTGGAGGCTCTGCCCCTCCCCCCACACACACGTACACAGACAACCTCCCACAGACACACAAACACACAAATCCATAGACACATACACACACGCACTACAAGTTTAGATTTACATAGTGTCTTTTACGTCGGGAGAATGTCCCAAGGTAAAGAGTAGTTCAGGGTGCGCACCCAAGCTGGGATGGAGCTGAGGGGTTAGGGCAAGGTAGGAAAAGATGGCTGAAAGCACAGTCAAACAGGAACATTTTCGTGTGGATTTTGAAGGAGACGAGGGAACCCGTGAGTCAAAGAGCCTCCAGTATGGAGTACCACAGAGTGGTGGCAGATAAGCTGAAAGTCCGACCACTGAAAGTGCGGTGGGGTACGTGAAGCAGGCCGGTGCCTGCTGAGTGGGTGGAGAGTACTCACATACGCACGCACGCACACACAAAGGTTCAGGCCACATACACACTTGGCTTATTCCCCTCAGTGGTTTAGAGGAGACTGGTATCAGAATTTTATTTGAGAGTTGAAAGACTGACTGAATGCTACACTGTGTGTACAAGGATTTTTTTTAATGACCTCCATAACTAGCCACGTGACTTATGTGCTTGTAGGGAGTGACTTTTTGCCAGTTGTCATAAAATAAATTAGTGTGGCTAATTTTTAGCAAGCCACTAACACTTAATCATTACCAAGCACATCAAAAGTGGCCAGGCATTTGCGAGTGAAATAATTGTTAAAAGTGCAGACGTTTCCAGGAGCCGTATACAATCATGTTTTAAGCAAATGCTCAACTTGTTACTGCCAAACCAATTCACAAATAAAAGTAAAGCCTGGCCCATCGTATTACTCCCCTTTCTCTGACCCGAGTGTAATAACTCCGTGTTACAAAGAGGATCCGAAGGGGCAGTTTGTCAAATCGAATGCTGCAAATACCTTTTTGCTGGGTGATTCTTCTTCCTTGTGCTCTTCCTCTTGACTCAACTTCCTTTTCACCGAGAGCCTCCGGCGCTTGGTGGGTGACGGGGGACTTGACTCTACGGAGTTGCCAGGCTCCTTTTCATGAATCTTCATGTGCCTGTGCAAAGACGAGAGAAAGGCGAGCTCCAGTTATTTATTTATTTTATTGATTGATTTATTTGCGTTTGGTTCATGTATCAGGTGGACCACATCACCAAAAAAAATACACTTTTTACAAAAAATCTTGGGCCAGGCACTGAAGGGCAGGTGTTCGCATGAGTCAGCCCCCACCACCCCGCAAAAGTCAATGCCCCCCACCCTCGTACAAGTCAATATCATTATTGTCCCCCAGACCAATCAATGTCCGTCTCCTACACAAGTCAATGCGGTCGTCCCTCCCCCGCACAAGTCAATGTCACCCCCCACCGCACAAGTGAATGTGTTCCCCACACAACCTGGGACACAAGTAAATGTCACCCTCCAGCACAAATCAGTGTTGTTCCCCCCCTCCCCGGCACGAGACATTTCCCCATATAAGTCAGCATTGCATTAGAACAGTAATAGATGTGGGAAGTGGAGCTATTCACACTGATGCAGTAGGCATGGGGCAGAGTTTGAGAATACAAAGGTATCAGGATCTATGAAGTGTCTGAACATGTCAGTCATGGATCAATTCAAAAAATAGAAAAACAGGGTGTATCCCTACCAATGTGTGTCCCCGCTGCACTGGAACTCTACTTCTCCCAATTAAATGCTTTTTTCCCATTCCTTCTCTCACTCCCCAGCAGAAGGAAATGATCTGGATCAAATTTGAAATAAGTGCGTTGTGTGTGTGTGTGTGAGCACGTTTATGTGATGCTGATGGAGGGGGGAAATTCTGTGTGGGGAGGAGTGAGGGAAGAAAGCCATATAAAAAGCGTACTTTAAGTGGGGCAACATAAGGTCTACAGCCAAGTGGTGAGCTCAAGGTGTAAGAGATATACAAACTCAGATGCACAAAGAGAACGCAACATGTTGTAACACAGTGCTTGCAATCTATTAAATCCCAAGCTGCATTACAGTATGGCACGATAGTGAGAAAGTTGGTTCAGAGACCGAATGCTGTGCGCTAAACCTGAAGCTCTGCTAGTGCTGCACCTGGCACAGAAATTCTTAATGGTGGCACCAAGTAGTTCACAATGATAGGATATCCCCTCATATCCTTCAATCTGATAATAATAATAAAAATCCTTGCATTTTGCATTTGACATAACACCTTATCACAACGTTGAGATGCCTCAAAGCGCTTCACAGGATATACTGTAAAGTGGACTGACTGTGTACTTTGTGGGCAAAACGCAGCAGCCCCTTTGCGCACAGCAGTGTCCCACAAACAACTATGCAGTGAGTGACCAATTTTATTTGGGGGATTTCAGCGCCTTGGGCCGTCCTCCCGATGTGAAAGGCACGATACAAATGTAATCTTGTTGTTGTTGGATTGTTGGCCAGTACACCGGGAGCAACTTCATTCTCTTTTCGAATAGTACCATGGGATCTTTAAGGCCACCGGAACGGACCCCAATTTAACACTTCATCCGATAATTAATGGCAAAAAATTATTTCCCCCTCCCCACCAAAATAAAAAGCAAAAAGAATTATAAAAAATATAAAACAGATGATTTTAAAAAAAAGCTCCTTTTAAGGTTGAATCCTTGGCCTGTCCTGGGAACATTATTAAGCAGTTGCTGTATGAGTCACTGGCATCTTCCACAGTTCCTCAATCCATGCAAAAATGTAGGTTAAGTTGAGACAAGGAGCCATTCCTCCTGGCCTCTCACACTCTTCATGAAGTCGAGCCTCGGTGAATCAGAAAGGTCTTTCACAACAAACAACCAGTCAACCAATGAGTAATTTTCCTGAAACGTGGAACACAGCACGACACTGAACCAACCGCATGAAAGTGCAGAGCAAGGACGAACCGTGTAGCACACACTCGCTTCCTCTTAATGTAACTGCGGCCCATCTGCTGCTGCTTCTCAATTCCGACACAGTCCAGTCCCTCCACTCAGCAACAGTTGCCACTACCACCTGTTTGATAAAATGCCCCCACCCCCACCAAATAAAACACACCCGCGAGCGCGTGCTTCAACGGTGTCACCATGTGTTAACTTTCCAGGTGTTTCCAGACTGCTCGTATAACTAGAGAACAGTTCAGTGCAAAAGGAGGTCATTCAGCCTATTTCCCATTGCTACCTACATCATCATCTTTTATCACAAATCCCACTTTCCAGCTCACTCCCCATTGTATTACATTGGCTGCTCAGGTGCTTATCCAATTCCCTTTGAATGATTCCATCCATCCTGCTTGAATATCCACTGCAGCAATTAATTCCATACCCCAACAGCCCTCTGTGAGTGAAGATATTCTTTCTCATCTCTCCTTATTTTGAACCCCTCTCTGCCTGTCCCATTAAACAGAGAGAGGGGGCAGGCAGAGACACGCAACACATCCCACACACACACTGGCGTATGCACGCACGCGCACACAGGGATCTAGATTGCTAAAACTAACAAGCTTTTCATCACAGGTTCATAATTGGATTTCCCAGGTGCTTATTGTGGGATTTCCCATTACAAATGCATAATGCAAAGATTATTTTGCATTCTAATCCATTCTAGTGATTGGAACGAAAATGGATTTTCGTTTAACATTTAAAGGAGCAGACCAGCACGGTGAGGGCCAGGGAAACAATAACAATAACTTGCATTTATATAGCGCCCTTCATGCGGTTATGTGTTAGAGCGCTTAACAGTAGCGAAACTTGGCCCTTAGCCGTACGAGAGGGAAAGTGACCTTAGGCCGATCAAAGAGGAAATTCTTCAGATGCGATCTGGGCTTGGTTTTCTAGACTTGGTGCATCTATTTCATCTCTCACACCTATCCTAATCGCCCACAAAATACACACTCAATCACTTTACAGTATATCTTGTGAAGTGCTTTGAGACGTCTCAACGACATGAAAAGACGCTATGTCAAATGCAAGGATTATTATTATTATTAAGGTACTGATCTCCGGGCTGGTTTGTGGAACTGCTCCAGTGTACAGTCATCACCTTTCTCTCCGGTATAGCTCCGCAGAGTCACTAATGCAAGAAGTAGACAGACCTAAAATACTGGAAATTTCATGTGCGGAAAAATGTCTAAAAGAAAGGAGACTACTATAATTTGGGGTGTTCATGGAGAGATTCAAATATGGGGGGAGGAAGGAGTTGAGGGGAAAAAAGTCCGACTCTCAAAGAGATAGATCTTAAAGTAAGTTTTAAAGGAGGAGAGAGAGGAGGAAAGGGAGAGGAACGCCAGGAATTCCAGAGAGTGAAACAAACAATTTCATGCAAACGAGCCCTACAAACCAGGTTTGAATCTCCACTCTGTGCTGAGTTAGCTGATCTCAGCCAAGGCAGTATTTGGGATGTGACAATTGGCCTCAGTGCTCTCCTGGGCCAGAGGGCTCTGGATCCGGATCGTTTATCTTGCGAGCCCTGCTGGAATATGCTGCATGTACATGTTGCCGAGGAATAGATCAGGGCCTCTGCTTGTGTTATTCCCTGCGGTCAAATAGCGCAGTTCACTCTCACTGTCAAAACAATACACAAAATAATAGACAATCATACATGCATAAATAAAGGGGGAGGGGGCCTGCACAAACCACTGTTTATATGGGAGGAACTTTTTCCAGCAGTTTTTTTTTTAAAAAAGCATTTTTTCCAACCTCTTGAACTCCATCTCCCAATCACTCCGCCTCGCCCCCTCCTTAGCCTCCTTCAAGTCCTGCCACAAAACTCTCCTCTTTGACCATACTATCGGTCACCCCCTTTCCCCTCCACTCCCTCCCTCCCTGACCCCAGCTTGGGTCTGAAATGCTGTACACTGTCCAGCGCCTTGGGACGTCCTCCCGATGTGAAAGGCGCTATACAAATGTAATCTTGTTGTTGTCATGAAATACTGACACAAGTAAAAGTGTATTTTGGACATAAGTGTTGGAAAACAACACAACCTTTAAATGTGAAGCTTTGATAATTGCAGGAACTCTTGAAACTATTTCACACAAAGAGTGAAAAAACATGTCTGTCACAATATCTATCCACCCCCCCTTCTGGTAATAATAGCACTCAGCCCACAGAACAGAAACAGATTTCCAGCCATTCAAGAGGCTTTTCAAGATCCCTCTACATAGACACATGGAACGCTTAAGAAAAGGAGCTGACAGGACGTTTTCTGGATGGTATACACACACACACACACACAAGTCTAAGGGACAGTGTGAAATCTGCTGTGTGCTGGCATGAGGAGTGGTGAATCACAGCTCAGCACTGCCTGAATCCAGGGTGGATGCTTGCAAGTCAAGACAGGTTTGCACTGAAATTCTGTACTGAAATTCCAAGCTCTGCAGGGAGGGAAGCCGTACCTTCTGCAGCTCTGTGATCTGCCTTTAGTACTGTAAAACTACTCTGTTTCCCTTTTGTTGGGCTCAATCAAGCTTTTTAATAATTATGCATATTCCCTTATTCGCCTGTATCCCACACATTTTAACCTCTCCCCTGGTGTATGTGTCAAAACACTTCCATCATTGTGGACAACTGTACTCGCTGTTACACTGAAGTCAGAGTTTAACATTATTGGCATAATTCTTTCCCATACGAACAGGAGGAGGCATCCAGTCTGTTGAGCCAGCTCCTACCATTTTATTCGATCACAGCAGCTTTCAAGGTTTAATCCCATTTCCTGCTCTTTCTTCATTTCCCATAATAGCCCTATACCTCACCTGTAAACACAGACAATGGGATGGATACCGGTAGGAATTCTCAAATTGGTCACTGTGATAACTAATCACGCTTGTATAAGGTTTTATTTTGCACTGCTAATGAAATTGCATCGCAGTCACTTATAAGCAGACAACAAGTACTAAGTTAGTAAATTGTCAAAATAGTGCTGAGCTGCATCACGCCCAATAATAATCCCTCCAAAACCAAAAACAATAATAAATTGGTCATTTTCAATCCACGACTGTTTGTGGGACATTGCTGTGCGCAATTGGCTGCCGCGTTCGCCCACAAATATAAAGTCAATTCACTTTACAG